TCACCAATTTCCGTCTCCTTGGGTAAGGGTGCCCACTAAGGGCTTTCAAGAGCGGAGCTAATACTCAAAAAACTTCTCATAAAAAGGCCGTGCGTGACCGGCCTCAAGCAGTTGTCCCTTGGGCTCTGCGGTCACGCTCCCAGGTCGTTAAGACCAACGCTAATCTACCTTTCTTTTCAGATTCCTCAAGAAACAACCTTCCACGGTGTGGGCAGTCGGGAAGTGACATTCTCCCTCATACCCGTAACAGCACACGAGACCAAATTGATCAAAATCAAATCCTGACTGACTGACTGATTCGATTGCTATGGGGTATAGATCTCGAATTATATATTCGATCACTAATCTTTTTGATGACTGCCAATACTTCTACTACCCTCTACTACTATAGGATTTGAACTGACAACTGCATCTATGTGTGCTAATGTGGTATGGCAGCTTGAACCAATGTACGTATGTACGAAGTTCGACGTTGTAACTGACTGACTGATCATTGACTAATACCCAATTCCATGTTAGAGGTCTGGTTGTTTTTCCACTGGTCGCTTCAATATTACAGGTACCTGTTGTCGATACGTGTCAATTAGTCTAGAGTTTTCTGTCGACTACATTCAACCACCTAATAATTAATTAATGATAAAGATGATTAAAACCATTCTTTGAAGATAACAAGAAATGTTGAAATTCCCTCTTAAAGATTAGTGATTATATTTAGTGGAAAACTTAAATTTTACAACGGTATTCAGGAATTCCAAACATCAGAAAGATATCACATAATGTAATTAGAAAGCATGATTAAAAACACTAGTGTAAATGTTGAAAAATGTTAGATCCCCAGAACTCACTGTATAAACGTCCTAATTTTGAACTTTTTGTGTTTTCGCGCATACATTGCTTAGTTGACCTTGAGATTACATTTCCCAATAGGAAAATACTTGACTCTCATTGGTTGGTGTGTTATTTTAGTACTCTCTTTTTGTGGCTCTCCCAAAGACGTTGCTATCATGTATAAATAAATTCTATTTATATGCTGGTGGACCTCGATTCTCTGGGTACTTGTACAATACATTTTCTACGCCATATCAAGACTTCTTCCTCTACTTAGTGGGGAGCCTTCGGACGCTCGGATTAGAGTAACCTATCGTGTCACTTGATCATTTGTGTTTGCTTTCATTTACTGAGTAAGGTGAACTTGTAATACTTTCAAGCAAATCAATTAACGAGTATATCAATAAAATAGTCAATTAGGAAAAGTTTATTATCAACACTTGACAAACAAAAAGATGAGAAACAAAATGATTGAAAAAAAGGATGTAAAAACTATGAAGTCAGTTGAGTTCATAACATAGTGAGTGACTGAAGTGTTACGATCTTTCTTAAAGATCAGAATTTTAATCTGTACTGTTTATAGATTATTTCCATAGATGATTCTCGTAATCTGAGTTGATTAATTTGTAATAGGCCTTTAGTGACCTGACACGATCATGGTTTTTCTAAGTACAACTTCGAACACCAAAGTTTTTCAAAAAATAAATGAAGTATAATAATAACAGAAGTTCAAATAACTGTTTACTTTTTCATTTGATTTAATCGCCAGACTTTCAGTTATTGTATGACAAGTTCAAATCCTTATACACCTGATTCAAATAAGTTTCACTCTCAGGAACAAAGTATAACTTGAAGTTTAGTGTACTTAGATGTAGAGTTATATTTTACCTCTCCTACTAACTACTGTTACATGATTTACACTACATCCACAGAGAATCTGTTACGCATGCACGTAGACACGTCATTTTGATAGACTTGAACTATTACGAGTTTACCTTAGTCGGAATTCGAGAGTGAGGATCGAGAATCCGGTAACACGAAATGCTACTCAAATCCGATT